TACAATGGTGGCTCTATAGCAGGAAAATTCCTATTGAGATGGGATAAAACCCAAGTTTCCTTACTAGTAATATATATATATAAGGGATTTGGCTCCTCTCCATTTTCCCCAAGTTCTAGCTTAGATTGAAGACACATGTCATAGTTTAAAATTAATGGTTGAGATCTAACTGATTAAAGTAAAGTCCTAATCATAGTTATTTACTTCCATATATGTCCTTAAATATTTTTGCAATCCATTATATTTTTCCTAAATATATTTAAAAAAATTCTTTACTACCCTGCATACATATATAAAACTTTTACTAAATATTTTTATTTTTAATTTTTTTATAATAAAGTTAAAACGTTTTTATTATTCTAATAGAGTATTAAGAGCTACAATGTCTATAGAGCAATATGGACTCCATTTAGGGAGTAAGAAAGAATTTAAAGTTGAGTGACAAAATTTATTTTACTCTTAAAATTAGAAAAAAAGTTAGGTCACAATTTTTAATTTTTTATTTGGCAAATATTATTTGAGAAATGGCAAACGTTAGGGAAAAAAAGTAAAAATCAGCATAAAATTACTCAAGTAATTAAGAAAAGAAAAACTTTTAAATATATTTAGGAAAAAAATAATGTAAATCTAGGATTATTGGATTGCAAAAATATTGAAAAAGCAAATATATGGAAGTAAATAACTATGGTTAGGACTTTACTTTAATCAATTAAATCTCAACCATTAATTCTAAATCATGACATATGTCTCCAATCCAAGCTAGAACTTGGGGAAAATGGAGACAAGAGAAATGGAGAGGAGCCGAATCCCCCTCTTAGCTAACCAGAAGGAGGAGTCTTAGCAACAGTAGCCATGATGCATAGTGAAGGAGGTACGTAAAAGCAACTCTGCCACATCACAAATGATATCATCTAATATAATAGAGAGACGATACTGAAGTATGTACATTAAGTTAAAAAATGAAGGAGTTGTCCACCTGGAAGCAAATGCAGAGCTAGGTGGGAGTTCGTGGGTCCGAACGAATCCACTAGCTTTTCCGTAGATCCTGTATTTTGATTAGAATATATATATATATTAACTTGTAAATTTCCAATAAACTTGATTGATAGATCAGTGGTAAGGAAGGACATGGGAAATGTTCTTCACACTAGTACTGTTGTAGATTCAAACCTCATTACCAGCAAAAAATCTCTTTTTAGAACCCTAAACTCCTAATTTTGACTTCGCCTCTGCAAGAAAGAAATTGAGTGTCGTCGGCCTCTTACGAGGATCCCATGAACAAATAGACCGCATCAGCTAGCAAGTAACAGAAAAAGATGTAATGACAAGCTATCCAGATATCCCATTCCCTTTTAGAAGGTGTATTCAGAAAGGTTGCATATATGACAATGTTGCGAACAATTAAGAAAGTGATACAAATGTTTTTCACTTCTTACCATGATTAGGCTAATACTTTCGATTTCAAAATTTAAATAAATAAAATTTTACCATATATTTTTTAAATATTCTGATTGTTAATTATTGTAACTTATAGTTTTTTACAAATATATAAATTTTATTTCAAAAAATTGAAGATTTCATGCGCAAATTCTTGATCAAACTTAAAGTGTTTGACTCTCGAAAAATAAAATATATCACATAAAGTGAAATGGAGTAACATTTTCACTAGCAGATGGAACTAACATTTTCACTAGCAGATGGAACTAGCAAGGCGAGAGAGATCTACACCAGCAACCTGCCAAATAAAACAGAAGAGGCTCCTCTCCAGTAATGATCTCTCCAATTTCCCCAAGTGCTATCTTGTATAGTTGACATGTGTCCATTTAATTCTTTAATGGACCAGATTAATTGTCTTGACCAAATACCATTAACCATGGTTATTAGTAATTCTCTCTCCTCTCTCCTCTCTTTCTTTCTCACTTAATTCTGCAACAAACATTTCTCAATTAGCAAAGAATTTGCTTTGTTAATAACAAATCACTTTTCCTTTCCATTATTTTCACACTGTGATAAAAGAAGACAAAATTCATCCTTTGAACTTGGGTTATAAAATTTAAAAAAATTCAACCCATGAAACTAATAACCATGGTTAATGGTATTTGGTCAAGAAAATTAATCTGGTCCATTAAAGAATTAAATAGACACATGTCAACTATACAAGATAGCACTGGAAAAAACTGGAGAGATCATCACTGGAGAGGAGCCTCTTCCAAATAAAACCAGGGAAGGTGTGAACCCACATTCAAAAGAAATTACTTTAACAATAAAATGTTAAGTAGGGCCAAAAAGGTAAAATAAGGATGATGTCATTAAATGGCTGTCAAATAAAAAAGTGATAATTTTTATAAATTGACTAATAAGGAAATAACGACACATACATTGCGACAAAGAAAATAATTAACTATATTTTATTTTTGTAAAGTGATAAGTAATTTGAGATAGTCTTTTTCTTTGGGTAATATGGACAATTAGTATGAGACGTAGTGAAAACAATTTGATAAATGTATCTCTACCTATTTTTACTTGTCTACTATTCTAGGAAAATAAATGTATATTTTTACTTGTCTACTTTGGAAAATGAAAAGACAATTTAATTTCTAATTTTCCTTTATTATTAACTTTGGTTATTTTTTGAATTTATTATATTTAAAAAGTAATATTATGAAATTATGTTATATTTATTACTCCTATTCCTTTAAAATTGTGTCAAATCAATACTAAAAAAATAAAAATAATTCAAGAAAATAAATGATGTTAGTATTATCTTTTTTACCAAATGACCAATAGTTTAAGAAAAAATATAACAGAAACCAAGTTTGCTATTTATGATCAATTTTAAGAACTACTTTTTAAGTATCTTAAGGATTAAGGTAGCTGTTTACTTTATATTTTTTTTTTAAAGATTTCTCTGATGAATTCTATCTTTGGTAGGAGTATAATTTTTGTTGTTCCATCTAATATTATTTTCTATGTTAGCGAAGTTGTGAAAAATATTAATAGCTAGATTGGAGAAAAATAGTATTTGAAGGTTGAACATGTGACATTAGTAAAGAATGGTCGTGGAAACTGTTTTGGGGAAATTATCGATTTGAAAGATAGTGTTTGGTGAATATTCAATTTCTACTTATTATCGAGATTACAAAATGATTATCATCGAGAAAACAAAATTGAAATTCATAGTATAAAGATAAAGGGTTTGTGTTCCGGTAACATGATAAAAGAAAAAAAGGATAGATACACCAGATATGTTCGTATCTTATCCTGCCAACAATAAAGAAATATTAGTTAGCACAGTTAACAATATTTTCATGTGCAATATGATCATAGGACATAGTACTTAAGGACTAGAGTAGAATTTTACTATTTGTTGAAGCATCACTCTTTTTTTTTAACGCGTAATTAATAGTTTTTAACACAATTATAAATCATGAGACTCTAAAACAATACAAAAAGTAATATATTGATATTTTTGTTCTCCAAGCTTTTCTTATTTCACTAAGTCTTGCCTTCTCATGCTTTACTAAACAATTCTGGATTGGACCATGAACACTTAAACATCACCGGATCTAATTGTCAGAGCTCTATCACTTTTTTTATTCTTTTAACTCGCTTTATCTTTCTAAATGTTTTTATTTAACTCATTCATGAGTATTTTTAACCGTTTATAATCAAATTTAACGAAATAAATCATGACGCGTATTTTTAACCTCATTATAAATTCAACTATATCATTCTTCGATGAACAAAGATTAGAATTAAAATAGTTTTGTAAATATAAGTCATCTTCCTTCTTGAGTTAAAAGAATAAATAATCTAATTAAATTTTGGAATGCTTCATGAAATGCTTTTCCAAAAAAAATTGGAGCTAATATGGCTAGATGGTCAAAAACGATTGAATATTCTACTTTTAACTTTAATATCTCCAATTTATTATTATTATTGTTATTATTATTATTATTATTATTATTATTAGCATAGTTATACTTGTAACACTTTCTGCGAAATTTAAACGTTTTTGCCTAAAAATGGAAGTCTTGGCTATCAATGACATGTGTTTAAAATTGGAAAAAACTTACCCGCACATGGTGTTTACACCAAGCCAATACGATTTCAATTATTATGTGAGTTAATGAAGTAAAATGAACTATAAATTTAAACACATGACATGCATGTATTGATTTGATGTAAACACCCGGTGCGGATAAGTTTTACCCAAAATTTTCAGGTCTTGCTAGAGAATAATTAATGGAATATATATATATATATATATATATATATATATAAATGTGGCATAGTTCTTGACTTCTGATATCATATTTTCCCTGTTGTGAGTAAAAATCGGAAATTCATAAGTTTAATTTCAATTAATTACATCACATTTGTTACTAACTTTTCATTTCCATTCTTTATTTCATTAAGTACATATTTTAATTTTGAGAAATAATATAGAAGAAGAGAACAATATAAAATACTAACTTTATTCTTTCTTTCAAATGTGTATAACAGCATTCTCAAGACCATATGATTACATTGAAAAATATCAAAAGTGTCACAAACATAACATTAATCCTTGAGAAGGTAGGAAAGATTATAAGGTTGTGGATGATCAGTAAGGAGGTATGCTGCGTATTACTACTCATAAAGAAGAAAATTATACAGGTTAGTTGGCGAAAAAAGAGGTTATACCAATTAGCTTTGAGTTATCGAGTGACGATTGGCCGATGAGACTTCCATCATGTAAATAACTCTGAGTACAAATAAACAAAAGAGTTACATTTATTTGATTATATAAAGTTAAGTGTTTCACTTAAAGCTAGCTATTTTTCATATATCAATTTTTATTATAAAAATACATAATGTTTTTTTCTAACATTATTTTATTACGTAAAATCCTCTAAATTAAAAATTTTGAAACAAATTTGTCCTCTAGATCCATGAAATAGAGTTATGGGCCATGGTCCATTAAGATGAATTTGGGCTTGGAGTAGTGTTAGGGTTTTAGGTTTTTGAAGCCTACAATATAATATCGCAAGCTTCTCACCATCTCTACACTGCTCTCGCATCGTCTCTTCGCTCTCTCTGTAAGTCATTTTTCACTTAATCTTTTTATCCATGAATCTTATGTTGTATTCTGCATCTGCATTTTGATTTTTGTTTTGCGTATTTGTATTTGTACACATCTGAAAAGATGGGTTCTAGGGGTACATGTTATGCAGACATTTCAATGTGGATGCAATCTGTTGAATCTTATTGGTTTTGAATTTTATAACGATGATTTCAAGTATTATTAATTGGATTGTGAACTTAATATTTGATAAATTTCTTAATACAAAGTTATTGGATTTGACGGAACTCGTATTCGGGCTTCTAGCTCCGCCTGTGGAAACAACCACTTCACTTACGTTAGGTTCAGATCCCTGTAGAGATAGTAAAAGTTTTATGTGATAGCCACTGTCATGTATGTGCTAAGGCTTACCAGCAGGCACACCGCGCTTATAAAATGAAGGTTTAAAGTCAAATTGAATTACTCATCGTCTTGTGTTTGGTTGGAATTTTCATTTTGTATAATGATCCTACATTACTAGTCCATGAATCCTAAGCAACTCTTATTCAAGTCCTCTGTTTGCTTAAAGTCATTACTAAGAATGGGTCTTGATGGAGGAGTTCTATTGGTGCCCACATAACTAATCTTTTTAAACTACATCATGCTTTTTTCATGATTGGTTGTTGTTCAGCTTATTTTGCTCCATGTATTTTCAGATTTTGATTGTATTTTTGATGGCTTATGGCAGGTTTAATTTGTATCTGCTAATTACATTCAAGAAGAGAAAATGTCTGGGTAAGTAATTGTTGTATTACTTCTATGTGTTTTAACAGCATGAACTGATATCAACTGGCATGAAAAAACTATTTTTGTACCTTAGGTGAGTGTTTATTGAAAAAGTACCTACCTATCTTGGTCCTCTTAAACTTGGTAATTTCATATTTGTTGGCATGAACAAGTTACATCAGCTCTCTTTTATAATGACTGTTGTGTTTTTTTTTGCTTTGGATGCCATGGGTTGCAGACTATGAGACGATTTAGATTCATACGGCCCTTACCGATCTTGCCTTGTTTTCACATTTTGATAGTCTTGTATTTGCCATTTAATAAAACATCTTTGCTTGATGACATTTAAAGAGATCTCGTCACCTCCATGTCATTTTATTTATTCCTTGACTTATTGTAATGCAGTGAAGAGCCTGTTGCTGCTGAGACTCCAGCTCCCGCTCCTGCTCTTGGGGAGCCCATGGATATCATGACAGCATTGCAACTTGTCCTCAGGAAATCACGGGCTCATGGTGGTTTAGCTAAAGGTCTTCATGAGGCTGCTAAGGTTATTGAGAAGCATGCTGCCCAACTTTGCGTATTGGCAGAGGACTGTGACCAACCAGACTATGTGAAATTGGTCAAAGGTCTATGTGGTGATCACAATGTTAGCCTGATCACTGTTCCTAATGCCAAGACACTCGGTGAATGGGCTGGAGTAAGTAACAAGCTATTGATTCTGATAAAGTTAAAACAAAAGCAGTCATTTACCTCTTCTATTTCAAGAATTTATCAGTAGTGAAAGTCTGTTCTGAGTTTTGAAAGTGAATGTTGAATTAATTTCTCTCTTGCTTTCTTATTTTTGCAGTTGTGCAAGATTGATTCTGAAGGCAAAGCAAGGAAAGTTGTCGGATGCGGTTGTGTTGTAGTAAAGGTAAAGACTGAGATGAACCTAGTGAATTTATTCATTTTCAAAAAGAAATATTCTTGTGAGTGAATTTGCTCATCAATATTTATATCTTTTTTAAATTTCTTTTTCAGGATTTTGGAGAGGAAACCGAAGGGCTCCACATTGTTCAGGAATATGTGAAGTCTCACTGAGTGACACTCGTTGAATTAGAGAGGTTTAGCTTGTTTTTGGTTGTGATATGAACATTTTTGATGGTTAAAAACCAGTTTTTTTTAACTTCCAGTTTGTAGTCATTTATGATTCTGGTTATGCATGCCTTCTTAAACTTTATAGGTCTTTTGACCCCTATGAATGAACCAATGAGATTATAATCTGTTCTCCTGACGTTGTATCAAGATACATGGAAACTGAGTTGAAATTGGATTTGATCATGTTGTTGATTACATGCAATTCACTTGTATGATTTGACTAGCTTTGTAGCGATATTTCAGTTGATGTTTCTGTAAGTACTTTCGTTTAACACAATAATGGCGTTATTTTATATTTGTTATAAATGTTTAACACATCTCACATGTTCAGAATCGTAACAATATGAGGAAATATACGAGTTAAACTGCTTTATGATAGAATATTATGGTAAGTTTGAATTTTGTGTTTCATTAGAGATGAGCTTAATGATTAGCCTTCTGCGTATAGCAGCAAGCTTCTTACTTCCGGCTGGTGGAACTGGAGAATAAGAACTCTTTATTTGCCTTAGTTTGCGAAAGCCCTGGAAATACAAAGAAGGGTAAGAATAGTGTTTAGTTTTCCAATCTTGTTACAACTTTTAAAAAAAATAAATATTAGTTGTGATGTCAGAGTACTTGTAACTTTTGATTAGTGATACAGTAGGGTGTGTTACAATAAGCATTTGATGATTGTTTAGGTATGGACTCGATTTTTTGCAAGAGTCAACAAAATTATCTGAGTTTGAGCTTAATAGTCTTTGTTCGTGTTAATTTGATTACTTCTCTGCTACTAAAGTATGCTTCTTTATTTAAATTTGAGAAAAGCATCCTATATATAGCATTATTACCAAACGTATATACATGTTTTCATATCATCAATCAATATGAAAACCTAATGTCCATAAAGCTACATCTCATAAGGAACTGTTTCATAAAAAAATACGTTTACATGTTTCATTTAGAAGATTTTTGAATATGTATGACTAAACAACATACAAAATAATCACTACAGATCTTCGATATGTTTCTTACTGATATTCATATCTAACACGGGCCATACTACTCCAGAAAGTGAGTTCAATTAAATCTCTTTCATCGAACAATTATACTAGCAGAACAAAACCTTTTGTATAGGCCAATTAGCCCCATAGCGGCAATGAATTTCTTCACCTTGAAGGATCATGTCAACACCACCTGCAGGAAGACCAACCATTTCCATCGTCTTATTCCATATTTCAAAAGAAGTTCTCTCATTATATGCTTCTTTGCTAGGTTCACTAATTCTACAATGGCAACCAATGAAGGCACAAACATTACACTCTTGCGCTTTCAAGTCACCACAATAATCCAAGATATCAGCATCAGTAGCTGCAAAAAGTGCACTTCTTGAACCCTGTTGAGCATCAAACATGAAAAAGAACATTTTCTGATAAAGAATGTTCAGAATTCTTGGAAGATCTCTGGTGACATTTGTGCGTACAGCTCCTGGCTCTACGCACAATACATGAATATTAGTATTAATTAGAAATTTTTGAAGTATACTGCTAAACTTCAGTTGAGCCAATTTGCTACTCGAATATGCCTTTCTACTTGTGAACTTATTCTTCTTGGTTAAGAAATTCATATCTTGAGGATCAACAACGCCAATTACATGCATAAGGGAATTCATATTGATAATCCTGCTCGGAGTGCCTCTTTTCAAAGAAGGCAAAAAGCAGAACAGATAGTAATGCAGGGGCAAGATGGTTCACTTGTATATGTGTTTCATATCCATCTTTGGTAAATTTTTGTGGTTGTCCTATAGAATAGATTCCAGCATTATTGATGAGAATATGCAGGGGTTTTGATCTCGAATTCCATTCTTGTGCAAATTTTACAACTGATTCGAGATGAAAGAGATCAAGCTCTATAACATCGATGCTTAAAGGCCTCGATTCAGTTTCATTTCTTCGCCATTTCTGAATGAGTTGATGAGCAAAACTTGTGTTTCTTACAGCCATAACAAGATGTGCACCTGACTCAGCTAATTGTTTAGCAATTTCAAGTCCAATGCCACTAGTGGCTCCTGTGACAATGCAATTTAGGCCATTGAGAGGAGGCAAAAGCAAAGGGTCTTGTAAATGTTTAGCATGAATTTTCTGAAAAAGTGTCTCATATGTTAAACGACGCCATCCTTGTAGCCATTCTGTCCATTCCAATCCTGTCGATGATGAATTCATAGTATTTCTTTAAAATACGATTAATATTTTTTTTCGATTTGAATCAATCTTTCAATGTCTCAATATTGTGATCTATAATCAAGAAAATTGCTGGAGAAACGAAACAAATGACTCTGTATGAACCAACAAGAAATCTGAATATGAACTTGAGATTGAGAAATAGACCAAAATTAAAATTGCAAGGAAAAATATATGAATGAAATAATAACTTGTTAATTGTTGAGTAAATGTTCAAATAATGATCAATAGAGAGAAGCAATGGACTGACAGAGATTCCGGAACAGATTTTTTTTTACTTAATGAGCTAAGCCAATAAAATCACATATATATCCTTTTTAACTAAATTGTCCTTTTCTTTTGGTTAGATGTTAAGTTAATATCTCGCCACTCAATTTTGAATAGTTCACTTAGAAAGCACTCAACTTTAAGTTGTTCACTTAGAACATAGGTGAATTCAAGATTTCTAGAAAATGGGTGCACCATTGCTTTAAAGATAAGATCTAAAAATTTATAATAACAATAACTAAGCAAGCCAAAAATAAAAAAAATACATTACCACAAAAAATATCATCAGTTTATAATTGTACTCGACGAGACTTCATATTTTGAAAACGATCTATAATAACATCATTACTTAATATGCATACGGAGCATCTTGCAAAATCAAAGACTTTAGGCAATTTTTTTCTCCTTTCATATTACTAGCTCCATCATTACCTTGTCCACAGAGTCTTGATAGGCATAGTGAGTGATCCAAAAGTAAGAGTAAATTACTTTTTGCAATGATCTTGCGGATGTATCACTATTCACTCACATGAACAATACCCAAAAAGCTTTCTATCAACTCTCCATTTTTGTTAACATATCATAAAGCTAGTCATTTGCTCTTTATGTGAAATGCCCTTTGACTCATCAACTAGTATCCCAAAATAATCACCATCCAAGTCTTAGATGATAGCTTTAATTGTTTCTTTAGTACAAGCATTCATAATCTCTTTTTGAATTGTCGAACAAATCATCATATCATTTGGAGCATGTTGTTATCACATTTTCCACATCCAGACGATTAATCCCATGATATTTCAAAAGTTCAAGAAAAAGACCTTTGTAATTGAAATCTTCACTCTCGTCATGACCACGAAATGGTAATCCGTTTCTTAGGAAAAACCTTACCACATCGATTGAGGCATTTAAACAAATTCGATAATCACTTTTTGTTTTTTTCACTTTGCTTGTGAAGAGAAGATTGAATTGACTGACGTTGATTCGCAAAATCAAGCATCATATTCAAACATTTGTTATGAATACTCTTTACCTCACAAACATGCAATCAAATTATTTCTGAATCATGGTTCCAATTTCTAAAACCATCTTGTGTAAATGATTTTCCCGCATTGCCACGACTTTCAAATTCATTCTTGAAGAGATAACAACACAAACAAAATATAGCATCATCATTTATGCATTCCAACCAAGCAAAATTTGGAGCATTAAACTACTCAGGATTAAATTGGCGATTCCTAGTCCCAAATGTTGTTTTACGATATACACGAAGTTTTGATTGATAAGGCTCCATCAAAATATAATGTCTCCTCACAACATCTCGAATATTGGAATCATATTCAAATATGAGTTTTCTTTCTTTGGGATCCCGTTTAAGAGATCCAACCCAAAGAATACAATCAACATTTGAAGAAGAAGACGTAATTGTCTCTCTTTGAGCTTCTGGAGCTACATGTGAACTAATAGATGCTCATACAAATTCAAATAACAATTCAATTTAGTCACAAATTTAACTAGCAAATTTAAAATAATAAAAGAGAACCGCATACCTTTCACAATAAAAAAAATAAAGAAATCACACCCTTGCAAGTCGAAATAAAATAGAGGAATCACAATCCTTGTAAATCTAACTAAAATAGATGAAGCACACCCCTTTCACATTTAACAATAAGAAAATCACATATTCATAATAAAAAGAGGACTTATACCTCTTCTGCATTCGGAATCACATATTCATAATAAAGAAGAGGAATCACACCACTTGCACATTAAAAAAGAAGGAGGAAATAACACCCCTTTCACATTAAAAATATAAGGAATCACACCCTTCAAAATTAATAATATAATATAAACACACATTTCTTACAAGTTACATCCGCAAAATATGTAAGTTTGAGATAACCAATTCATTAGTTCTTGATGATTTCTATTATAAGTAATGACAAATTTTTTTTTATGGAAATTCTAAAATTAAAGTCATATATATATTTTATTTTGTTAGTTTGTTATTAAAAAGAAAAATCATAAAAAAAAAAAGAATTTTATCTTAAACTTTGACAATGATGATTTTTTTAGATTTTTTGTGTGAAAAATAAAAGGCAAATTTGAAGAGAGAAGAAAAAATATTGTTGGAACTTGAAAAGTGGGTAGGAACGAAACCTTTTGAAGTCTTTTGACGTTAGAGCTTTTAGAATTTCATTTTTTTTTTTGAAAACATGTTTTTAATTAATAAAAAAAGATTGAAGCGAATTGTTCCTAGTAGGGGTGTTCGTGGTTCAATTTGGATAGGTTATTGGCTAAATAAAAACTAAACCAATCTAGTCGGTTTTAAAATTTCTAAAACCAAACCAAATGAAAAAAATAACCGTTGGTTTGGTTATTGTCGGTTTGGTTCAGTTTTTCTGATTTTTTTTGTTTGAAAGTAATAAATTTTTTGAGGACATGTATCTCAATAAACATTAACACCTAGTACATGAACAATCCACATGAAAGCTATTGTCAGTTCAATTAAATAATACTAGAGTTATTTTACACGAACAAAGTGATTCAACTAAGAGAAAATGTGACTATCTTATGTGAGGTAAGGTAGGTAAAGACTAAAGTAATTTTTTTTGATGGACTTGGACCTAGGATTGCAATAGTTGGGCTAAAATTTAAGTGTTGAGCGTGAGAAAATGATAAAGTTAAAGACTTAAGTTAATTAAAATTTAATAA